TTAACAATTTCATGATTTCATGGCAAGTTCTCCTCTGATAGTGTCGATAATATCTACAAACACTAAATTATCACATTAAAAGTTTTCAGACCTCCCTCCAAAAATGTAAACTTTCAAAAATTCCCTCGTATCGCAAGAACCACTTCACGTTTAAAATATAAAATAACTAATATGTGATTCCAACCTAAAAAATTTGTAAAAATTAATTGAATGAACCACTACGAATATTTAACGAATATTTTTCCACATACGAGGAATAGGACACACTTACTCTGAACGTTTCATCTATTATCTAGCCGGGGAAATCCGTATCACTTTTTCAGTAACTTTTTCCCGTTGTTCGTATATCAAACGGGTTCGTCTGTGGCAGCTTTAATCTTTTAATATCACAACCAATGTCCAAAAAAAAGCGCGTTTGGACTCGCGCCAAATTCCGTAAAAATATCAATTTTCGTCGAACGTCGCATTTTTCATTCTCATCGTTTCATCGTCGGGACCGTTTGCTTTTTTAACACCGGCACCTCCGACCCGGTGCCATCTTTATATGTCGGGAGGTTCATATAGATATTAGTTCGGACGAAGAGTCCTTTCATTTTGCCCAATAAACCTGAAAACTGACAAATCGCGGCCATTTTTCATTGTATCTTTTTTGTCGCCCATCGCTGACGAAAATATCTGAAACGAAACTCAAAAACGTTTCGCCTTGCTATTGTATGAAAACAATTGCCTTCGGATTTATGGGACGTCGGTGTCAAAATCGCATTTTTCTATGGAGAGTTTAATTATTTGTCTTTTGGTAATTATTAATTTGCCAAAATATTCATATAAATGGGTTGATGACGAACTTCAAACACTGTCTGCAGGAATATTTACTAGTACTGTCTCAGTGAGGAGCTAAGAAACTTTTAAATCGAGGAAAATATGTGCCCAAATAAGCAGCCAGGACATGCAGAACTGAAACCACTGGTAAATGGAGAAAGAGTAGTCTTTTTCCAAGGTAGCAAAGTAGCACATTTGACTAAAAACTTATTTGAAAATCGTACATTCACAATACCACACTTTAGACAACAATAGGGAACTTGAACATTTTTTTATATCTAATGTATTCATCTATGTGTGGAAATATCAAAACCCAAAACCCAATATCTAAGTTGCAGTAATTAATTCAAGTTGGGACACCCGGCTATTCCTTTTAAACGATACTAAACGCGCGGGAATGATCATGACGTCATACCGCTGCTTTCGATCGATACGACGACATGTTATAGTATTATTCTCAGATTTTAATCCGATAATTAATTAATTTTTCAAAGAAACTTCCACAGACTTGTAATACTTTTTACAAAACTTCTGGATTCCTCCTGCGTCGGTTTTTGCTGAGTCGAACTTGCTGACGTTTCGCCAATCATCCTGTTGGCTTCTTCAGAGCTTGACTGAAACTGTTTGTCTGAGTATTGTCTTAGTATTGTTTTACTCTAAAGAACAGCCCTAATTTTTTGTTATGCATATGTGATGCTGAAGGATTCGTTGTGGTATAAACTTTTAGGGATTGTCGACAAGTGTTCAGAGAATGCGAGACGTGCGCCGTCTCAAATTCGTATATAGATTGAAGACATTGATACATTTTGACGAAATGAGAAAATTTGGACTTCCACTGTCTTTATTATTTATTACCGCAACGTACCGACAAGCATCAACCTTCCGCCTTTTTTATTTTCACAACTATTACGGTGTTATCTGCAAAGCAAAACGGCGTCCCTTATTACCAGGATTTACCATTACGATTACCATTTATATTCGCGTTAAATAATAGAGGACCAAGTACTGTCCCTTGTAGCACACCACACACTACCTTAAGAGGTTCGCTCATGATCCCTCCAGCAGTATGCCATTCGCCACAGTATGTTTTTAGTTAAAAAAAGTTGCGCACATCTTTTTTCGACCAGTGGCCCTTACCAACGTAATTTCAGTAAGAATATCTACTTCAGTGAAAAAAGCTGATAAACTGGAAGTTGTAGTTTGGAATGTTACTGCAGTTTTCATTTCGTTCATTGTGCTTTGAGACAAAAAAAAAACAAAATCACAATTTTTGTCCCAACGTAACGAAACTCGGCGTGCAGAGTTAAAGCTTCGTCGCGACGCGTTGAGGAAAAGTTGATTAAGCAATTAACTAAAGCCGAGAATTTATCACTGACTATATATTTGGCCAAAGCCGGGCGGTAATCTTACGTGTCAGAAAGAGCCACGCTCCTAGAGCTCAAAGTGGGACTCTAACCGTAGCTACGCGTCCAAAGTTCAATAATTAACGAAATTGTAGTTAGAAAATTTAATCAGCGCCCAGTGAAGTGTCCATTAAACATCAAAATCGCAATTAGTTAATAACTATGTTAAACGTATAGGGTCGAGCCACTTGTTCGGCCTAATAGAGTTTGCAACTTTGATGTAGGGGAATGTGATTTGGAGAAAGGTCCTTGTTTTCTAACAGAATGGCATCAACCACATGCTAAAGATCTTCGGATCACTATCGAATAAGCAGCCGCATACGGGCTGGAAATTGTATAAGATGTTTCTGTTTGTTACAGCAGGACCATAACACAAATCTAGAATAAAATTACTCTTTCAACTAAAATTTATGTTCGATTTGTGGTCGATTAAACCAATTTTTGATTAGCTCTGGTAAAGTTCGCCGAACGATGTATCGTTTTTACAACATTTTATAGTTTTTTCACTTCGGAATGGGTTTAAAAACCGTCTGTTGTGAAGCGGAAGGGATGATTCTTTTCAGCACGTGTACCACAAGCCACTGTCTTATTTAGGATGTTAGCTGACAAAAACTGTGCCGTGCGGACTGTTGTATTTTATGAGTAGGAAAATTTTCTTTGATTAAACTGTTATATTAATTCATGTTGGTGTGTTTTTTATGAATCTTGCTAAAACAGTCCCTACTTAAGGGAGCTCGACTTCAAGTTGAATTTGCCCAATAGATGGGTTGATCTATATTTGAAACACATTAGAAAGCTTAAACTGATTTAATGAATTTACATAATGACTCTAAAATATTTTCCTAGGAAAGCAATACAAAATCTTATGTAGATAATTTATTTATAATGAATATTTTCGCAGTTTGCTATTGGTTGATTTGTGGAGGTTGGTAAAATCCGTGTATGCTGTCAGTATTTTCTTAGCAATCGAAACTTTGGAGTTATTCTATTCCATCTTGTGTTTTTATTAGTAATTACCAACATACTGTTATTCAATTGTTTTTCAAGGCTCAGTCTTCTGTTTTTATTGAGATATTCTATACATTTTATTACAATTTATTTCTTGCTACACACTAACATTATTCAATTTTGTGGAGCCATAAAATTAAGGTCCGAAATGATTAAAACACCGTATGCCACCTTACGTGACATAGTTGTCAATGGTGTCCAAGAAAGAAAAACGCGCAAAGATAGCGGGAACGAAAAACGTCTACTTGACATGCACCATGCCGGACTACTGAGACGGTTGATATATGAGGCGTATCGGAAGAATATTGTTTTAATAATTAAAACTATACATGAAGCGGTGCGTACTGTTTTGAACATTGACTGTTGCCAAGAGGCTTTGCATGTGTTCACCATCATTAAAAGACAAGTTTTGGTTAGAATCAAGAAGAATTTCGGAGATATTTGAGAGAAATCCAAGAAATTCGTGCTAAAACGTCCCCATCATATATTTAGATGAGATCTGGTTTGATAACCACGACAGCGTCAAGAAAGGATGGACTGATTGTAACAGCAGGAAATGTTCGTTAGATGTGCCTGTTTCGCTGGGCAATAAAGATGTCAAAGAAGCAAAGGTTGACTACCACAAGGAAATGCTTCCCAATATTTCACCAAACAGTGTTGTGGTGATGGACAACGCCAGTTACCAAGCGGAAAAAATACCGAATTCATCATCGACTAAAGAAGTCATTCAAAATTTTTTGTAACATTGTTTTATAGCTAAATTTACTCCTTCATGTATATTTATAATAAGCATTTTAATGAAAGAATGAATTTTTCACTGCAAGGACTAATAATAATCGAGGAATCTCACCGATGAAACTTTACACAAATCCGTCAGCTTTCAGCATTTGTATGCACGAAGCACCGAAGTCCGGTTCTGGATCGTCATTGTGGAATTGCGAATCTATTTATTGAGGGTTTCAAAGAGAAACCCAAGCGAGGTAGGCCTGCGGTTATACCCTCATAAAAATTTACCAAAGTTAAATAAATTCCGGATTATGTAGTAAAAACGGTGAATGGTTGGGCGAACTATAGAGAGGACAGCTTGAGTTACAACGAAATTTTTTTTTTTAAACAAATTATTTATTGACACGTTTTCTAAATGTCGTTTACAATTTTTATTAACAAGTTATAATAATTTAAACGCCTATCATCATTACACTTGCGATGGATATGAGCGTTATGTTTAGGAGGCTCAATGGGCCTGCTGAGGCTTAATTGCCGTGAATAGATCACTCTGATTATTTCATTTACCTGTATAAATTTTCAAATAAACCATTTCATTTTTTTGAGTTATTGGAAATCTCTTCATAAACTTGTTGGTTGAGAAAACTAAGTGGTTTTATTTATAAAAGTATTTATGCTTTATATTTACTATTTAGAGTTGTTTACTTTATAAAGTGCGCATTTGAACTTTTAATCGTCATATTCCGCGATTTAGACTTTCTTTATACTTTTAATGGAGGTTATGCCGATATGTAGCCTTGTGCCTTTACCCAAAAATTCTAAATTATTAGTATTAAAATAGCTGCCTATTTTAGCTGCCAAATTCCTTCCAATTTGGTAGTAGACACGTTCATATATTTTCATGAAAAAATCCATGAAAAAATCCATCCAGAACTACACTTCCAGGTCATCGCACCGGTGTAGTTATGCTGCTTTGCCATTCTCGCCATTAACGAATCAATGTTTCGTCATTGCACCGCAGTGAATTATTTTTTCACTTTACAGTACCTCCCAGGATACACTACGTCACGTCAAATGGTCGGGTGGAGGTAAAAAAGGGCTCGACTGTAAGATTGGAATGCAAGGCTTCGGGAAATCCGGTTCCGAAGGTGACGTGGTCCAGGAAAAATAACATGCTCCCCGGAGGTGAACAGACTGTTACAACGCCCGCCCTTACCCTCGACAGGGTAGACAGGCATCACGCGGGGACTTATCAGTGCGTAGCGAGCAACGGAGTGGGGGAAGACGTCAGGGAACAGATACTACTGCATGTCCTCTGTGAGTACGAACGAACTGCTTCAAGTAGTCGGCGTTTAATCCTTTAAACGTTACTTTTTATTTGTGCTTTTGCCATTTAATTAAGCCAAAGTAACGCAATCTCTGTTTGTACAGAGTGGCATATACCTTCGGTGTTTTATCGCTATTTTAAAAAATGTTTCAATAGATGTACAAAGTAGAATTTGAACATTTTTTGTGTTTTATAAAAAACATTGGATATTTGTCTTACTATTCCTTTACGAAACCCTATGTCACTGAGAATATATTTGAAATCTTGCTTAGTTTTAAGAAAATACGATAAACAAGAGAAATATGAAAATATATTATAAAAAGTTCAATGGAAACGATAAGATAAAGTAAAAAGTTGCAAAAATAAAATAAAATAACGAAATAGTATGCCTAAACTGTGTGTGGCCCATCAAAATTTTGGTAAAGAGTGGGATTTAAATTATAATAATTTATTAATTAATAAATAATAATTAATATTAAATTTAGCTCTACGTTTTAGAGCAGTTACATAAAATGCCTTTTGCGTCAATAATTAAATTAATAATTGTTTTTTAAATCTAGGCAAATTTGAAAGATACCAAAAATAATATGATACACTGGTGCAATTTACGCCATCCAGGTAAGTAAATATTCTGCACTGATTTAAGAGGTACATATTCTTCTGATTCATCGCAAAAATGCTTAACCCACACATGAAAAGAGCTACTCCTATATATTTTTTTCTTTTATTATATTAGTCCAACCATATCTTAGCTCAAATAAATGTATTTAAAATTTTAGAATTTAAAAGAAAAAATGTGATTATTTTGAATTATATTTACAGATTTCTAGAAGTCGAAACAAGCCTGATAGCAGTACGCATTAATATCAGTGCAGCATGCGTTTGTATATAGTTCTGCAACCTACACTCGGCAGTGTTGTAGTACTAAAAGAATTATGATATCGAAAAAATGTATATATCCAAGTGCGACAAGCCACTTTTTGGAGACAGCGATTAAGATTGTATTGTGTTGTCTGTGAGGAATAGAATCAGTATCAACCACATAGAATCACTTAACAGTGTAAACATAGTAAGTAGTATATGTCAATTAATAGTAATAAAAATAACATTAAAAATAGACGCCCTAACCTGAGACGATAAAAATAAATATAATATTTAATTTGCCTTTGTTAATTTGGATGTAACTCGGAGTATTCGACGCCCTCGTTGCGTTCTCGAAAAAATAGAAACCCACCTGGGAACACACATGACGAATAAAAACAAAGGATTGCGATAAAAATGACAAAGAGCCTAGATATAAGCCCCGTATTATGCATAATGCAAAAAGTTGTGCCTGTTATGTCCGCAGTTTGGAATAATTAATTTTTGCGCGGAGAGCGATGAAGAGAGAGAAAAAGAGCTAAAAATTCGTCAAACCGTGTTAAATTATACTGGGATGTATTCTACATAAGCGTTTAACGAAAACAATTGAGTTAGGTCACCTTTACTAAGGAAAGTCGGGTCGTTCTGCTTCTCGTCTGAACTCGGCTTGAACTCAAGTTCAACTTGACTTGAAAATGGCAAGTGAGATCTGGCCGAAACGTTGTCAGCAGAGGACTACCTCCACTTGGAGCCAGCCAGACCAGACGCGGAGTAAAATCCGGAAGAATTTACAACTCACATATATATATATATATATATATATATATATATATATATATATATATATATATATATATATATATATATATATATATATATATATATATATATATATATATATATATATATATATATATATATATATATATATATATATATATATATAATACAATCACATGAGCCATGAGGGTAGTTCATGTGAATTTTTTGTGAAACCAAAACGCTTGTCAGAAGAAACGTCAAATAATTTCCAGACAGAACGGAAGTTTGACTGGAAAAAAAATGTTTGTATCGTTTTTTTAATGTTACTTGTGTTGTAATTTTTTGAATCGACCTGAAATTGTGAAAATTACTAATGATATAAGTTAAAATTCCCTGTTATGAAAAAGTTCAATTTAACTGTAAACTAATACTATTATTTCAAAAAATGTGGTATGTAAGTGAATCTCCTTTTAAAAAATTTAAAATAAATCCATCGAATGGGGTATATAGTTTTCATACGTCTGTATTTTTGAAGTGAGATGCAAAGAGAAACCAAAAGACATGAAAGTTTCATTTTTATTTTCTTAATTAAATTTCAGCAATTTACATTTTTCTTACAAAATTCGTACACAAATTGTAAATTTTAACCAATGTGGAAACTTTGACCAAATTTGCTAAAATTAATGTTGAATTCCTCGTTAAGTTCATAAATAGAAATTCACATCTTAATAGAATTTCCTTAATAGTTTGTGAATTTATATTTTTCAAAAAGAAAATGTAAATTTTAGCATATCTGTAACAAAAATGTTTTCTAAAGAAGGTGTAAATTTGTGCAAAAAATTCTTTTTTACACAAAAGTTAAATTTTATAATTTTGTTACGAAATTATGTACAAATCTTCCAATTTTTTGTTATTTTATATATTCATTAGAAAAGTTCTGAATTGAAAGAGTTTGTTATTGTCAATATTGAGTAAAGAAACAAATCTACACTAGTTAAATGCCATTAACAATTTAATGAAAATATTAACAAATTAAAACCACAAATTTCTTAAAAATTTCCACAACCTTTAGTTATTATGACGGATACATTCGTTACCCTTCACTGTTTTTAACAAACACAAAGTAAATTGGGTTATTACAAAACTTCAATTCATTTTAATGTTGTATATACAGAGTGTTTCATTTTTCGTGGGCTAATATCAACGTCCTTATTTTAAATGTTAATGTGTTACTTCATTTTTCAATTCAATATTTGTGTATAATGTCCTATAGCTAAGTCGTACCCTTTTTGATATTTTTAATTTTTTTATGCGAAAAATGACCTTAAACATAATAAAACATCTGGCAATTTCTTCATTCGGAAGTATTTATTGTTTCTCTTGAGTAAGTTTAAAGGAAGACAAAAGACTCGAATAACGGATTTCATAAGAAATTTCCATACATATTAATACAGGGTGCCCGAAAAATAAGATTAAAAATGAAAAACTGGCAAAAAAATTTTTTTTAATGGAAACTAAACATGAAAGACAGTTTTCGTATAATTAATAAATATTTTATTTTGCCATCTTTCTGGCAGTAACATAATTCCCCTCTCATAAAAGTTTTGGTCCTTGCTGGCAACAAACTGGTTCAGGTGGTTTTTGACATCTTCATTTGAAGTAAAGGTTTTGCCATCCAAAAAATTTTGCAGGGACCGGAACAAATAGTAGTTGGAAGGCGCCAGATCTGGAGAATATGGTGGATGTTGCAGTACGTCCCATTCAAGCTGTAAAAGTTTTTGGCGAGTGACCAAACTTGTGTGAGGTTTCGCATTATCCTAGTGGAACACTACACCCTTCCTGTTGATTAATTCGGGCCTCTTCTCTTTAAGTGAATCATTCAATTTGTCCAGTTGATGACAATAGACTTCTGAATTAATCGTTGTATTGTCCGGCAAAAGGTCAAAAAAAACAATTCCTTTGACATCCCACCAAACGGAGAGCATCACCTTTTTTTGGTGAATGTTGGCTTTTGACACGCTTTGAGCCGGTTCATCTTTTCTGCTCCATAACCTCTTGCGTTTAACATTGTTGTATACAACCCATTTTTCGTCCCCAGTAATAATCCGCTTCAAAAATGGATCATTTTCTTGACGTTTGAGGAGCGAATCACACACGTCAACGCGACGACACAAATTTCGCTCCGTAAGGACATGGGGCACCCACACATCGAGCTTCGAGGTTAAGCCCATGCCTTTCATCTTAATCTCTCACCGATCTCTCGTGTGGTTATTCGCCGATTTGCATCAACTAATGCCTTTATCGCATCTTTGTCAGCTTCGACCGGCTTTCCAGACCGTGGTGCATCTTCGACATCAAAATTGCCGGATCGAAATTTTGCAAACCAGTTCTGGCACTGGCGTACTGTTAACACGCCTTCTCCATACACATCCGTCAATTTTTTTCTCGCTTGGACAGCATTTTTACCTTTTCTGAAGTAAAAAAGTAAAATATGACGAAAAAGCTGCTTATTGCTCTCCATATTTAAAAGAGCACCAACCAAAAACTACTGCGTAGAATTAATAGAACTTTTTCACACACAAGCCTTGCAATATCAGCTCTCAAGACATATAATGGTTATGCGGCTTAAGTGTGAAGTTGGTTTCGAAAAAACGTAATTAAGTCCTCTGACGGGAAAAAACGAAATTACTTTCCGAACAACCTTATACTTTTATAACCTTGTCATATTTAGCATTAAAAATTAAGCAATTTTATATTAGGTTGTATATGCCTAATGTTTTCACTTGTTGAAATTTCACTATGAATCAACATTTCATAGTTGACCACAATCTTGCCGATCCAAAGATTGTGAAATGTATGTTTGCGTTATTTGTATATAAGACAAAGGATACGCGATAACGTTGTTGAATATTTTATAAACGATCAATAAAAATTTAATTGCTTACAAAGGATAATAATTATTGTAACAGTTGTTCAATATGTCTTCGCTTTGTGCAATACAAGTAGTACAAAGGGTTTTTGAATACATAATGGAATTTCTAACAGATTCGATCCCATTTAAATATCCGATACCTTCTCTCAACTGACGTTTAAGTTCCTCGGCAGTTGACGATTTGTGTTGTAAACTAAATCTTTAAGTATACCCCAGAGAAAATAATCTAGGAGAGATAAGTCAGGGCTCCTTGGAGGCCAGGCGTAACTACCACTCTTCCCTATCCATTCTCTGTAGTGTGCATTTAAATAGGTACTAATTTCTCAACTTCTGTGATAAGGAGCGCCATCCTGCTGCCAAATTAAATTTCGTCGATCCCTTTCCGGCACTTCATTTTCAACAAAGGGATGAGTAATATTTAAAAGCTCTAAATAG